ATTATCCCCCCATTATCCCCCCATTTCCCCCAATTCCCCGTTTTTCCCCACAGTACACGCGGTACCTGGAGTCGCGCACGGTGCCGGGCGCCCGCAGCGTGTTCCCATTATCCCCCCATTATCCCCCCATTTCCCCCAATTCCCCGTTTTTCCCCACAGTACACGCGGTACCTGGAGTCGCGCACGGTGCCGGGCGCCCGCAGCGTGTTCCAGCGCGCCTGCGGCTCCCACCTGCCCCGCAAGCCCAACATCCACCTGCTCTGGGCCGCCTTCGAGGAGAAACAAGGTCAGGGCACCCCCAGACCCCCAGTCCGGGGAGCCCCAAATCCTGGGAACCGCCCGGGGCCGTCGGAATGTCGGCTGGGTCCCAAACCGGGCTCGGATCTCGCCCCAGAGTGACTCAGAGACCCCTAAAACCCACGTGGGAGCGTCCTGGGCACCCCATAACCCGCCCTGGGCACCCCATAACCCACCCTGGGCACCCCAAGGACCCTCCAAGGACGCCCCGATCGCTCTTTGTCCCGTTTTTCCCATTTTCCCAGGGAACGTGGGTGAGGTCGGGCACATCCTGCACGGCTCGAAGGCTGCCGTGCCCAGGCTGGGACCCCAAAAACCCCAATTTCCCCGTTCCCAGGACCCCAATAACCCAAATTTCCCCATTCCCAGGACCCCAATAACCCCATTTTTCCCCGTTTTCCACCCATTTTCCCCATTTTTACCCCATTTCCCAGGCAATATTGACGAGGCCCGGTGCACCCTGTGCAGTTTCCAGGCTGCTCTGCCCAGGCTGGGACCCCAATAACCCAAACTTCCCCATTCCCAGGACCCCAATAACCCCATTTTTACCCCATTTTTTACCCATTTTTCCCTGTTTTTCCCCCATTTTCCCTATTTTTCCCCCCATTTCCCCAGGCAATGTTGACAAGGCCCGGTGCATCCTGCACAGTTTTGAGGCCGTGGTTCCCAGGCTGGGGATCCCTGCTGACACCAAAAACCCAAATTTCCCCATTCCCAGGACCCCAATAACCCCATTTTTACCCATTTTCACCCCATTTTCACCCCATTTTTACCCATTTCACCCCATTTTCACCCCATTTTTACCCATTTTCACCCCATTTTTCAGGCAACGTGGACGAGGCCCGGCGCATCCTGCGCTCCTTCGAGGCCGCGGTTCCTGGCTTGGCCATGGTGCGGCTGCGCCGCGTCAGCCTGGAGCGCCGGCACGGGCGCGTGGCCGAGGCCGAGGCGCTGCTGCTCGAGGCCATGCGTGCCAACGAGGGGCTGCCCCTGGGCTCCTTCTACGCCGTCAAGCTGGCCCGGCAGGTGTGCAAGGTGCAGCAGAACCTGGGCAAGGCCCGCGAGGTGCTGGTGGAGGCGCTGGAGAAGGAGCCGGTGAGAGGGGACGGCTCGGAGGTCGTTTAAAAATCAGCAAAAAATTCGATAATGTGTGTTAATTAATGCTGGGGGTGCTGGGGTTTGGGTTTGGGGGGAAAAGGTGGGAATTTGGGATGCCTGGAAATGCTGGGGTGGTTGGAGGGGGCTCGGATCCTGTTTGGGGTGCTCAGAGATCGTTTTGGGACCCCCAAGATGGCCTGGATCCCACGCAGACCCCTCCAGTCCCCCCAAACCCCTCCCCAGCCCCCCCAAACCCCCTCCAGTCCCC